AATAAAATTCTTAAAACATTTTCTAATTTCTCAATACCTTTTGACAAATTGAAGTGTTCCAAAACATCAAACCAAAGGTGACAATTTCCCCTATATGATAGTTATATATATATCTCGATTCCTAGACGTGACCCAGCGAAACGCCGGGACACGTATAACTTCTTTTTTACCGATATAACTTTCCCCGGTAGTTTGAACCCTTCCCGATCACTGACCCCTACCATTTGTCTCACAGTGTTATCGGTCACTTACGAGATATTGTGAAATATATAAAACGCTCGGTAAATGCAAGTGATCAATTAAGAAAGAAGCAAAAAAGTGGAGGCATATTAGAAGGCCAATGTAAAAAATTAATTTTGGATGTGCCAACGCGTTGGAACTCCCTTTTTTATATGCTGGAGAGGTTCGTTGAACTGGTTTCAATTATAAATTAAATTTTACTTACACGATTAGCTGCACCTCCAACTGTAATCGGTAGTGAGCTCGACTGTATTAAAGAAATAATTGGGGTTCTACGGCCGTTTGAAAACGTTACAGTGAAACTATCGGCAGAGCAAAATGTAAGTGCAAGCATGGTCATTCATTTTGTTAATTGCCTTACCAACGCGTTATAAGTTATAAACGTTTCAAATGGATCGGCAGTTGGATTAAAGCATTACCTAGAAAGTCAACTTAAAATAAGGTTTAGTAAAGTAGAACACAATGCTTTATTAGCATTAGCGTCTTTATTGGACCCAAGGTTCAAACTAGTACATTTTCGAGATCCATTAGCAAAAGGAAAAGTTGTATCTTACTTAAATAAATATTTAGGCAACTTGGTTTGCGAGGTTGAAATCAGTGCCAATGAAATAAGGACAAGTGAAAATTCACCAACACATTTTGATATTTGGAGTTTTCATAATCAACTTGTTCAAAATGTGGAAAACAATAAGCGCCGTTCAGTAGTAGTGACGGATAATACTACAGAAGTTCCGATGTACTTAAACTCACCAGTTGCATTAGTTTCCAAAACTTCTGCTTTCGACGTATGGACTGGGAAAGAGGGTCTCTTTCCTGGGCTATATAAACTAACTCATATATATCTACCTGTCCCTGCTACTTCAGTGCCTTGCGAACGCCTCTTTTCTAAAGCAGGTGCTACTCTTACACAACAACGAAATTGGCTCAAGGGGAAACGTCTGTCACAACTACTATTTTTGAACTCTATCCATAAGCTTTTAATGTAATTAAAAAAGTATGCAAAAGTAGCACTCATTAGTGGAATTCGCGCTTCTGTGTATTCGCTGTATCCTGCGTAAGTGTAACTGGTCGAGCGCGTGGTTGTTGTTGCATGTGTATTTGATGTACCGCTAGCAACAACAAATCACATGCTCATTATGTTACAATTACACAACATACAACGAATACAAAGAAGAGCGAATTCCCCTATTTACCTTACTCAAATCTGGTATGTAAAACTTTGATCTCAGAAGAATAAGCGATTTTTTAGTTTAAGATTTATTTTTGTTGAACTACTTATGAATAAATAAAAGTAGTACAAATGCATATAAAAGTTGTTTTCCATAAATTTGATTTTAATTTTTTAATATGCGAAGGAGCTGAAGCAAATTATAGCATATATGCTTAGCAGAATAGAAGACAATCGCACCAAACTATCGAAATATTTTAAGGAGTCCAACTTTGTGTGTTTGGCATGTATATGTACACTTGTATAAAAATGTTTTTTTTTTGCTTTCTAGCAGTTTTTCTTGTGAGAAATATTTTGCTTTTTAAACAGCTCTAAATTGTTACTAAAAAAATCTCTGGAACGCAACTTATATTTATCATTTCTTAGATTTCTTTCAAAATATCGAAAACATCGATATTTATCGATGTTTCTGGTCGATGTTTTCGACAGCGATTTTTTTAATCTGATATATCGATATGGAAAATATCGATGTTTTTTATGTCGATATCGCAACCCAGCTGCTAGCGGCCATAGTTGCCAACTTGGTGCTTTAAGCACTAGATTTAGTGCTTTTTGAAAATTAAAACGCCAAAAAAAATTTTTTAGTGCCTAGAGCCTTTTTTAGTGCTCTTCTTCTGAACTAAAATTTCTCATAGATATTTAAAACATGAAATAATTTGAAATATTTAAAGCTGTAGCAGCACTGAATTTAAAAGAATCTACATTCATTTTGTCGTTTGTTGCGATTAGATTTTTCTTTCTCTAAATATACCAGTTTTAATCTGTAGTACCTACTTCGGTATTATTTCGTTAGCATGAGAAAAAGTTTTGTGTATTATGAAAAAAGTATCATTTGGTATAAAAAAATTAGTGCTTTTAGTACGGTAAAACGCATTTTTCCCCAAGTTTTGTTGCTTTTTGAAACTCAGAAGTTGGCAACACTGCTAGCGGCGCATAAGTTCGGTAGCTGCGCACACACGACTTAAGTGTGAAAGCCGAGTAGCTCCCGGAGACTCGCGTGCGCATCACTGCTGTAGTTAGGGATGTTCCGATACAAGTAAATACGAGTACGTACTCGATACTTTTGTTTCGATACCAACTACTTTTTGTACTCACATCATTGTATCGATATCTACTTGGTATCGAAAGAAAAGTACTTGTATCGAAACAATTTGAACAAGTTCCATCTCTTGTCGGCAAATTTTTTCTGCGAAAAGAATCTTTAACAGCGTCATTTTTGTGAAAAAGTTGTGTACTTTAAGCAATGGCACCACCAAAATGGGAAAATTTTAGAATGGTAACCCCCGATTACGGAATTAAGGAAAATAGGTGGGGTAGAGGGGGTTCTAAAGGGGGTGTATGTAAAGTTTTAAAGCGCGCAACCTTATAGTTTTTAAGTAAATTGTTATTAAAGTTTGTAATTTTCACCAACTTGTATGGGACTATTTCACAATATATAATGCACTTTCCACTAAATTTACACGTTATTTACACTCAATATATGCGCAGTTAGAGTGTGTACGTTCAAACAAATAAATACTTTTAGTATATTACAGCTTTTTTATAAAAAATTGATTGTTGTTTAACTTTATGAGAGTACATGCAGAATATGTGCAAATGGCAGCAGGACTGTGTTGCCATATCTAAAAAACCAAGAGTGGAAAGCAAGACCAATGAAAATACCATTAAAAGGAAAATACGACAAGGTTCTTTTGTTCAGATAAAAATAAATATCAGGGGGATTGGGGTAATATTCCCCTATAAAATACTGAAACACATTTTTAAGGCTTATATGTATATTTAATTGCCAAAGAAAAGGGGCCGAACACCTTTTGCATAGAACACCTTTCTGCGTAGGCGGCCTTCGGCCGCACTTAGGGATTATAACCCTTAGGCAGTAGAATTCTCCTTTCTGTATTGCCAAAGAAAAGGGGCCGAACACCTTTTGCATAGAACACCTTTCTGCGTAGGCGGCCTTC